GACACCCCCGCTCCCCCTAAAGCGCTCGGCCGCGGTTTCCCAGCGGGGTCCGCCCGCTCCGGGGGCGGCCTTGCCCCCCGCCCCCGCCGCCCCATTGGCCCCGCGGCCGGCAGCGCTCCGCCCCGCGCCCGGCGATGCCTCGGCCGAAGTTTTCCGCGGCGGGCTCCGCACGTGGGAGCCCCGCGTCGAGCCCCGGTGCCGCAGCCGCGCCGAGCCCGCCGGAGCGGCAGCGGGGGCGGCCCCGCGCTCCCCCCGGGCCCGCGGGGGATGCCCCCCTGAAGCGCCGCCGGGGATGCGGCAGCGCGCAGCCCCCCGGCCCCGCGGAGCGCAGCGCGGACGGGCCGCGCCGGGGGGCGGCCGCGGAGCATGGCCAGGGCGCCCGGCCGCGCTCTCGGGCTAGCATGGCCGTGAGCGCGGCGGCCGCCCCCGCCGCCGAGCCGCTGCCCCGCAGCATCTTCAAGAAGTTCCTGGTGATGCTCTGCTCCCTCCTCATGTCCCTCTACGTCTTCTACTGCCTGGCCGACCGCTGCCAGACGCTGCCCGGACCCATCATCGCCGCCGGCGCCGCATCCGAGGAGGACGAGGGCGGCGGCGGAGAGTTGCTGGGCGGCTCGGCCGAGCTGCCCCCCTGGCAGGCGGCGGCGGCGCGGCGCAAGCGGCTCCTGCAGCGGCTGAAGCAGCGGCGGCGGCGGCAGGAGGCGGCGCCGGGCGCGGAGCTGCCGGCCGGGGGCGGCGGCGGCCGGGCGGGCACGGCGGGCACCGCCGGCACCCTGGCTCTGCTGCTGGGCGAGGGCAGCAAGCGGCTGCCGCAGGCCATCATCATCGGCGTCAAGAAGGGGGGGACGCGGGCGCTGCTGGAGTTCCTGCGGGTGCACCCCGACGTGCGCGCCGTCGGCGCCGAGCCCCACTTCTTCGACCGCAACTACGAGCGGGGACTCGCCTGGTACAGGTACGGGACGGCTGGCGGGACGCGGCCGGGGATGGGGATGGGGATGGAAATGGGGATGGGGATGGAGATGGGGATGGGGATGGAGATGGGGATGGGGATGGGGATGGGGATGGGGCCGGGGATGGGGATGGGGATGGGGATGGGGATGCAGCGGTGGCCGAGCCGCCAGTGCCCTCCGCTGGCCGCCGCTCCCGGCAGCCCCGTCCTCGCTCCCCAAACCCGCCGATCCTCTCCTCCGCCAGCCCCGTGTTCGTTCCTCCGTTCATCCAGCACTCTTCCCCGCAGCCCCTCGTTCCACCCGTTCTTCCGTCCCTGCTCCCGAACCCTCCAGCCCGCTTCTCCCGCTGTCCCCGTTCCAGGTCCCCCTGTCCCCAGCGCTCCCGGGGTCCCCCCGGCGCTGCCCGCTCCAGCCCGGCTCTTGTGTTGCCTGACACGCACAAAGGGAGAAGCGGTGGGTTCCCCGCTGCCCTGAGGACTGCGCGGGGATGCTGAGGCACAGCTAAACCCTGGCATCAGAAGCACGGGCCCCCAATATCTTTAAAATCCCCCAACTCTTTGCAAAACCTGTGGCTGAGCGCAGATTCTCAGCCGATCCATCCCGCAGCCTCGCCAGCGGATCAGCGCAGCTCCCAGCCCAGCAGCCGCTAGAAGCCACTTTTCCTGTCGCCAGTGTGGACAAAAAAACCCTGTTTCCCACGTAAATACTTCAGCATCCCAGTAGTGACTAAAAACGCGACCAAAAATGTCACTTCCAGGAGCATGCCCCACATGCTCACCTTGCCTGCGGAATACCAGCAAAAGGCTGGTCGGGTGTTTCTTTCAATGAATGTTTTGTTGAACAAGCCAGTAAACGTTAAAGCCAAGAGGGTTCTCGCTGAAGTCGTTCAGGTCTTTTTTTTGTTGTGTGTTTTAACGTTAGTAGAGGAGCGTCTTTCCGGCAGATTCCTATAGGAGGGCTTGGTTAGGGTGAGAGTGAAACTGCTGTCTCGAGAAGCCTGTCTTGTGTTCGTGGCTTTCTTGAATGAACAGGAGAACAGGAGAGGATTTTGGGTACCCCTGGAGTTTGTTTTACTTTCGCATAAAGCCCGGCTATTAGCAGAGAGAAGAGGATTTTGGCTCAGCTTGTGGTGACAGTAGTGAAATGTGGAGTAGGGTAGTACTGACAGTCCGAGTGTTTATGTAAAAGTCTTAACACGTGGAAAGGGTGAGTTTCCTTGTGTATCTGCCGCTGTCAGAAACACGCTGGGTTTCTGCAGGCTGCAAAGTGTGGGTTCTCTTGAGAAGAAAGATTTCCTTTCGTGTGGGCTGAAGCTGTCTACAAAATTATATTTTTAGTCTGCGCTTATCCAATTTCCACATGCTGACCCTGTAGCGGAAAGGAAACGTTAAAAATCAATCTGAAAAACCTCAAGAACTCTAATCAAAGTCTTGACTTTGAAAAATAAACACATGGCTGTGGGGTGGCATCTACTGAAATTTATGGTGGATATGCAGAAGAGCTCATTTATCAGAGATGCTCTGGGAGCTTTGAGGAGCAGATGGCAGTGGGACAGACCTGCTTCTGGAAGCAGGAGTGCAGACCTAGACAGAGGAGGAGCCACAGGCATTTAGGGCATAGTGCAGTGTCGGGGATATAATTTTCCAGAGGTTTGGTCTTGATCTTGCAGCTCTTACTCACTGGCCATGCTGTCCCGTGAGCTGTTTGTGTACTCATTAAGTTTTAGCAGTTGGCACATGAACTCTCCCATCAATTACTGCAGTTTGTTTGTTCTGGTATTTGATGTGCTGAGTTGAGTTTAATCTTTTTTTTTTCCCCTTTCCTTTTTTTTTTTTTTTTTTTTTTTTTTTCTTTTCCCTTTTTTTTTTTTTTTTTTTTTTTTTTATTAGCCCTGTGGAGGCTGAGGTACAGTGAATTCTTTGTACGGGATTATTCCTTTGAGACCTAATCTTGCTGGCTCTGCTTGTGTGAGTAATCTTTGCTAGCACGCCGTGGCAGAGCTGTGGTGCCAGCGTGCTGGTCACCGGTGACAAATGCCCATTTAAAAACCTACCTGTCTCTCTCTGCAGGCTTTGTTGTAATCTTTGAGGAGGGTTCATTGCTGGGGAAATGGCCAGATGTTTGCCAGAGGTCGGGATTCCTTATCTTTGGCATCAGAGGCTTAGGTTTCATGCGCGCTGCTGTTTCCCAGCAGTCAGACTAAACAGGTTTAGGGTCATTACAAGGTATAAACACTTGGGTTTGTTTTCAGCCCCTGCAGGAAGCCTCCACAAGCAGCCAGTGCCCAGGGAACAAAACAAATTGGTGGCTGTTGCAGAGGTTGAAGAGGCAGCCAGCCTGTGTAGCTGATGCTGCTGTCACCGGAGCACGGAGGTGGGCTGCCACAGGCACAGGGTGGCTGTGGGGTTTTGGATGTGAGGAGAACCCTGATTTTCCCTGGAAATAAAAGAGCTGCTCCCCGAGCAGCTGCTGTGAGCAGGGGGAATGGCTGGGCTGTGGCTGCAGCCGTGGGGTGATGCTCCTGGAGCAGCCAGCCAGGTGTACCTGTGGGGCACGGGCTTGGTGACATGCAGGTCACCTGCTGGAGTGCATGGAAACATCATCCTGGGAATAAATGGAGTAACAGAGCAGACCCTGGTTCCCTGGAGAAGCCAGGGAGAACCATCTGTGGGATCGAGTTTGGTGAGTGTGACACCTCCGTGTGGGCCCGTGTGTGGGTTGGATATCAAGGGCAGCTGTGTGCCCAGAGGAGCTTTTTCTCTTTTGGGTTTGAGTCCCCTCATCCAGTGGGGATAAAAGGAGGGAGGGGGCAGCCCACAATGCTCGCATTGACTTCAGTGCTGAGATTGCTGCTCCAGCCCTGAACAAGGCTATTGAGCTAACAGGGTTCAATAGCAGGTGAGCATGGGCTTTAATAGAGTTCAACTGCCAACCCCCACCCGAGAATGGCTCTACAGCCTGGGGAAAACTCCCAAGAACAGGGGCTGAGCCAGTCATGTAAAAAAAAAAAGAAAAAAAAAGCCAGGATTAAAAGAAAATATCTGTGTTTGTGGGTGATACTGCGAATCTGGCTCTTTCCCTCTGATCTTTTGTTAGTCTCGCACTGATTGAGCTGCCTGTTGGAATGCCATTATACTGTCAGTCACCCTGGGAACATTTATTTCATATGTTTTAATCTCCCTGCCTCTCTAGCACCAATGCCACTTTCACTAGAGTGAAGCCAAGTTAATGTCATTAGAATACATCTGATGCAGGGGAAGATGAAAGATAATTCAAAGTTACTCCGTCAGGTTGGGAGTTTAAATATTGCTCCTCCTCGATGCTTCAGAGCTGGGGAGTTCTGACTCCTGATTAATGTCCTCTTGGGATTTTTTTCCAGGTTTTTTTTTTTTTTTTTCTTTGCTTCTTTGTAATCTAGGCAAGCACTGATATTCTGAGTCAAAGGGAACAGAGAACATCTCAGATGCTGAAGAGGTCTGGGATGGAGGAAGAGGAGGATTGTTGGGAGGGGAGATGCTCACAGCAGCTGTGAGCAGCTGCATCCCACCTCGAGCTGTGTCCCATCCTCTGTGCCTCGAACCAGGGTGAAATCAGAGCCCTGGGGATGGAGGAGTCAGGCTGCTCCTGGGGCAGGGCTTTCAGGTCTCTGTAATCCAGCAGAGCATTCTGTGAGTGAATAAGTGTGGGAGTGTTGGTGTGGGGGGCAGGAGTGTGTGGAGATGTCACGGGGACATCAGGGCAGTGAATTCAATTTATAGAAGGTGGAGCAGGACCAGGTGGCCTTCAGGAGGAAAGACCTTGTTGCAAACCCTCTGTGTGAGGGTTCTGCAAGAAGCACCAGCTCTTTGGCTGTGTTCAGGGTGTGCCCAGCACAGAGCATGGCTTGTGTTGTTGGACACTGAGCTCAAACCAGTTTGGGTTTTCCACTCCCTGCTGCACATAGGAAGGGCAGGTTTAGCAGTACCTTCCCCTTGTCCTGGGAACATCTCATCTCCCAAACACATTTGACTCACTAATAGCATCACAAGCACAGCCTGGAGCAGTTTCCCTGGAAATTGCAGCCTTGGACAGCCTCATGCTGAAGAGGATCAAGGTCCTTGTTTATTTATTAGCTGTGTAATCAAACACCTCCTGTACCGAGCTGGCAGGGCCAGGTACTGTATAAAAAGGAAACAAAAGGTGGTCATGGCCCCAGAGTGCAGCTAATTCACTGTAAACAGCAGATGGAGATGGGCTGGGCCTGGCACGGCAGTGCAGAGTGCCTGTGCTGGCTGGGCAGTAGGTCTCCTGGGCAAGGAGTCCTGCAGATGAGGATGAGGTGGGTCTGTGGGTGGCTGGAGGGACCTTTCTTTGCTGGGGAGAGGAGCTGGAAATGCTGGGGAAATCAGGGCTGGAGTTGAGTCTGTGTAAGACAGTTACTGGTTCTGGTGCTCATGTGTTTTGTCACTGCCTGGACTGGGATGTTCCAAGGATTTTCAGCAAAAATCTGAAGCAGTTTGGAAGTTGGCACTTGGCTGCTGGGGAGATGTGGTGGTGTGCCTCAGTTTGCCCATCACTGCCCTGTGCTGCAGGGATGGAACCAGCAGGGCTGTGCTGTGACACCTCTCTCCAGCACAGACACGAGGAGTTACATGGATTCTGATGGGTTAAATACCACCCAAAGCAGGTGATGCCCACCAGAGCTGCTGGCAGAGCAGCTGGAGCCTTGACCCAGCTTTGACTGGCTGTCCTCTTGCAGCTGGATGGGCTATCCAGGGATGGCACTGTACAGGCACTCCTTATGAGATCTTCCTGCAGAGAATCACAGAATCACAGAATCAATCACAGAATCACAGAATCAATCACAGAATCACAGAATTGTGAGGGTGGAAGAGACCTCCAAGATCATCAAGTCCAACCCATGCCTTAACACCACGTGCCATGTCCAGTCTTATTTTAAACACATCCAGAGATGGTGATTCCACCACCTCCCTGGGAAGAAAATGCCAGTACTTTATTATTC